CCTGGAAACTCGGCTGCGCCTGCCCCCCGTGACTCACCCAGGAATGTCTGCAGGAGAGCAGGCGCGCGAGGGCTCCCCAGGGCAGCTGCGGCCCAAGTACGAGGCTTCGGCTGGCCTGCCTCGCTTCCGTCCTCGCCCATCCCCCCGCTGCCGTTGCTGCTACCGCGCCACCGCCCCCCAATTTGGAAGACACCATCCTCCAGCCGTGGGGGGAGGAACGGGGGGGACAAGCTGTTCCAACTCGGAAAAGGCCTTTTCTTCCCTGTCCCGGCCAGAGTGGCTGCCCACGGCTCCAGGCCAGCTGAAGGCCATCTCTTTTCGGTGGCAACTGCTGCAGTAAAGCCCCATTGGGCAGCTCCGTGGCTGCAGCCCTGCGTGGAGTCCAGCCGGCTCTTCCGGACTGCGTCTGGCCCACTCTCTCAGGAAGGGAGGTGGCAAATAGCTGGCATTCTCCTGCCCTGGCTCAGCCTGAAGGAGCCATCCTGGGAGAGCTGAAGAGGAGGCCGAGATACGTGCCAAAGACAGCCTGCCCCTGCCAAGGGCATCTGGCTCAGCCCTAGAGGCGTGTGTGCAGGGCCCTCCCTTGCCAGCCCCAACAGGAAGGGGCCCTGGGGGAGGAAGCCTGCATGCAGGCAGGGGGTCTCGTGGGCCCTGTGGCCAGACTGCTGCCGCTGTGGGAATGGGGAAGGGAGTCGGGCATTGCCCTGCAGCCAAAGACTTTAGCCTCAGCGAACCCCAGCTGGAGGGGGCAGCCTGGCCCTGGGCCGGAGCCAGGATCGCAACACTGCCGCCGTCTCCTTCCACGCCCCTTGGTTTCCGGCCACCAAAACCTCTTTCCATTCCTTCAAATGGGATGCCAAGAATGGGGCGCAGAACGGCCTTCTGGAATGAGGTTCCCCCAAGATCTGGATGCCCCCCCACTGGTGTTTCGGAGGGCCTTGAAGACCCCGCTCTTTGCCCAGGCCTTTGGCGAGTGTGACCGGAGCCCCTTTCTGGGTAATGTGGGTTTGCTCTGGTGGTCTGCTTTGTGGCATCTTTTGTTCTTTGCTTGTTCATTGTGTTATTTAGTTGTGGGGCATTTTTATCTGTGAACTGCCTGGGGCTGCTGGGCACCAGGCCGTGTAAAAATGTAAGAAATAAATAAATGCATCTCAAGATGGACTCTCACCAAAACGGACCAGGTGGCACATCGGTGGTTTCCCATCTTTTGAAAATGTGTCTATTGACGAAGCCTAAAATTATTTTCTGGTTTTTTGCGACCCTTTCCGGGTGCTGGCTCATGTATCAGGTCCACGGTTATGCCGAGATCTTTCTCGTAAGCCCTTAGCGAGCCAGTTGCCTGCACGGCACTCGAGTTTTGCTTCCCAAGGGAAGACCACTGTATTTGTCGCAGTTGCATACAGTCCTGCTATTTTCACCCCGTCTTTTCTTCTAGGGTATTGGCTGCGCACGTCAGTTCTTGTCATTCTCTCTGTTAACAAAACCTGAATGGAGGATCCCCTTCCTGGGCAGGGGCTGGACTAGAAGACCTCTGAGGTCCCTTCCAACCCTAGGCTTCTGAAGGTCGCCCCTTCTGATGCAAGCATCTATGTCGGGGGGGGGTGTCTCTCCTTGCGCTGGCCCCCCTCGCCTGCCCCGGGCTGTTGATCTCGCTCCCCAATGGATCGGGGTATTCCTTGAATTCGCCCTCGAACTAGCTGCGGGGATCGGCCGCTGGACC